TTACAGAAAATTGAGGGATTGTTACAAAGTTTGAAGAGGATTCACTTTATTCTACTTTTGTTTGGACTCATGTAGCGAGAATCTAGAATTAGACAGCTCTCAGCGAGCGAAGCAAGCCAAAAGCTATGAATGCTTAACTGTCTGAAACGTTGTTTCCGAGTCCTACAATGGGGAAGACTTTTTCGTCTAGAAGGGCTGGCACACTTGCTTCCCCCCACTTGCCACGGAGCCGAAATTTAGAAGAGGCTTCCTGTTGCGAGCGAAGCGAGCTAAAAGCTATAGCCTTGTTGAGCGGGAAATGTTATAACTTGGGGTCTTAGTCCTAGGATTCCAGGAGATTTTAAACATTACCAGGTACATATTTTCTGTTGGCCAGACAAACAAATGGTTGAAAATACGTTGCACTCAAATTTTCTTCCCGGCCTAAGATGGTTAAAGATCTAAGAAGGCATTACATATATCAGTCATAAGGTACCTCAATCCGGTTTATTTGCCAGCGGAGAGAACCCAGAAGCAAGTTACCTCCAGCGAGCGAAGCGAGCTAGAAGCCAATGCCGAAGTGTGTCCAAAATGCGAGTTGTTCGGGCCAGGCTAAGGGACGATTCCTGACTAATTGCTATTTCTTGGGCCAATCGGACCCAGTAAGGGCAGTACTTTTGGCCCCCTTCGGGGGCCAAAGGGGGGAGGGGGCAACCGCCCCCCCCCCCTAATTACGCGCCTGGGTTGAGTCTAACAGACCGCCACACGACCCCTCTGGGGGGTGAGTGTAAAAGACCGCCGCACGACCCCTCCGGGGGGTTGAGTCTAACAGACCGCCGCACGACCCCTCCGGGGAGAAGAATCTTACAGCTCACCACAAGACCACCTTCTTTTGCCATTTCTAGATGTTGCCGGAGCACCATTGACTAACACCTAAAAAAGTCGGAAATATATTATCATATTATTTAGCGGGCCACCCAGGACTCTGAAGAAAACGCGATGAAATCGTTCGATCCAGCAGTTTTGAGGCGCTGCGGGTAGGCAACCGTGGTGGTTCAAATTGCCTGCTGGGTCGCAAACGAAGGTGACCGACCAGTTGTTCAAAAGTTTGAGCACCAATGAATTTGAACCACGCCGGCGTCGGATTCCAGGAGCCCCGAACTTGTAAGAAAACGCGATGAAATCGTTCGATTCGGCATGTTTGAGACGCTCCTGGTAGGCAACCGTGGTGGTTCAAATTGCCTGCTGGGTCTCAAACGAAGATGACACACTAGTTGTTCAATATGTTGAGCACCAATGAATTTGAACCACCACAGCTTTGGATTCCAGGAGCGCCGAACTTGTAAGAAAACGCGATGAGATCGTTCGATCCAGCAGTTTTGAGGCGCTGCGGGTAGGCAACCGTGATGGTTCAAATTGCCTGCTGGGTCTCAAACGAAGGTGACCGACCAGTTGTTTAATATTTTGAGCACCAATGAATTTGAACCACCACGGCGTCGGATTCTAGGAGCCCCGAACTTGCGAGAAAACGCGATGAGATCGTTCGATCCGGCATGTTTGAGGCGCTGCGGGTAAGCAACCGTGGTGGTTCAAATTGCCTGCTGGGTCTCAAAGGAAGGTGACACACTAGTTGTTCAATATTTTGAGCACCAATGAATTTGAACCACCACGGCATCGGATTCCAGAGGCCGCGAACTTGCGAGAAAACGCGATGAGATCGTTCGATTCGGCATGTTTGAGGCGTTGCGGGTAGGCAACTGTGATGGTTCAAATTGCCTGCTGGGTCTCAAAGGAAGGTAACACTAGGGTTCTAAAAAAACGTGAAAATTATTTTTGATGAAAAAAACCATGGAAAAAAACGGTTTTTTTCCGAAAAAAACGGAAAAATATATTTTAATTTGAAAATTGTTTGAATCAGTGGCGGGAGTAGATGAGACTCAAATGGTTGCAGAAACAGAGCTCCTGTCGGGAAATAATTAAATTTTACTTGAATTGCACTTAAAATGTGAAAAAAGCTGTGATTTAATTGTTTCGCTTTTCTTAATCAGTAGAAGACTTATTGAGAGCGGTTCTATCGCTTATTCCTCATGCTTCCATGCATTTTTCAAGTGGATTCCTAGCTCCAATGCTTTATACCTTTCTATTCGAGTCGATTGGAAACCTCAAATGCTTCAATTTACGTCCATTTTTATATTTTTCACATTATTCGAAAAGTAAAGCGATGAAAAGAAACCGAAAAAAACCGTTTTTTTCGCAATTTTTCCAAATATTTTTCACGCTTTTAGAACCCTAGGTAACACACTAGTTGTTCAATATTTTGAGCACCAATGAATTTGAACCACCACGGCATCGGATTCCAGAGGCCGCGAACTTGCGAGAAAACGCGATGAGATCGTTCGATTCGGCATGTTTGAGGCGCTGCGGGTAGGCAACCATGGTGGTTCAAATTGGCTGCTGGGTCTCAAACGAAGGTGACACATTAGTTGTTCAATATTTTGAGCACCAATGAATTTGAACCACCACAGCGTCGGATTCCAGGAGCCCCGAACTTATAAGATAACGCAAGAAAATCGTTCGATCCGACATGTTTGAGGCGCTGCAGGTAGGCAACCGTGGTGGTTCAAATTGCCTACTGGGTCTCAAACGAAGTCGTCCGACCAGTTTTTCAATATTTTGAGCACCAATGAATTTGAACCAGCACGGCATCGGATTCCAGAGGTCGCGAACTTGCGAGAAAACGCGATGAGATCGTTCGATTCGGCATGTTTGAGGCGTTCCGGGTAGGCAACCGTGATGGTTCAAATTGCCTGCTGGGTCTCAAACGAAGTTGACCGACCAGTTGTTCAATATTTGGAGCACTAATTGATTTGAACCACTGCAGAAGTTGTTTTTTGAAGGCACTGAAGTTGGAATAAATATCATTATGTGCAAGTGGAATCGGTGTTTTGGCGATTTTGTTGGCTTCCAAGGACGTGATATACGTTATTTACGCCAGTTTTACTTATTTTAACGTTGTTCCGTTCTTTTCTTTTCTTTTCTTCCGTTTTTGTTGAATTCCCCTTTCTATAGCACGATCCGTAAAGCTGACCCGTTTTTGGCCAAAAAGGCGGACGTGAGGCTGGGGGGCTCCACCCTACGATGCTGTCTATGTGGGAAAAACAGGGTTTTCGACAAAGGTTGTCCAAATCAAACCAAACTTCGTTTTTGGGTTCTCCTTGACCCAAAGACATGTCAAAAAAAATTTGAAATTTTTTCGACAAAATTTGTCGAAATAGGAAATTTTTTTATTTTACTCAAAAGACGCGGCAATTGATTTTGAAAAAAAAAAAATTTTTCAAAGGTGAACTAAGGAGGAACATTTTGAGTTGTGTCCCATGTCCTGGTCTTGCTTAGTTTAATTGATACCCACCATTTTACGTTACGTAATTTTCTCATTTTTACCTAAAATTAAAAAAAATGCCCCTTTGCCAGTCAATTTGATTATAACTAGAGTCAAACTGAAGATATTTTATCTTTGTGAACCTCCTTCCATGCCTAACACACTATCTGCCTTCCCAAATAAACACAGTGTGTCCCAAAATACCATAACGGGTCATTTAACATTACATTTTGGAATAACGAGCACCATGTTGCAGTAAAGCAGCCCAACTACACGGTTAAAAAAAGGTTGTACAGAAACAATCAGAAGAGTGAAAATTTAGTCGTTCCAAAACATAGAATTTCATCATGAACCAAAGCGAAACAAATGTCGTTGAGTCTAGTAAGCGACATTTTGTCGTTGAAGAACAAAATTCTTGTTATCACTCTTTACGACACAATTTGTGGGGAAACAACATCCATCTGCTCAATTGAAGAATATTATGAATAATCATCTATTTTGTTCTTCTAAGTCATAGGAAAATTACTGGATAAAAATAATAATCTTGTTTCAGTGACAAATACTAGTTGGGCTGCTACTGCTCCAGCAATAGACATGGTGCTCGTTATTCCAAACTGTAATGTTAAATGACCCGTTATGGTATTTTGGGACACACTTTGTTTATTTGGGAAGGCAGATAGTGTGTTAGGCATGGAAGGAGGTTCACAAAGATAAAATATCTTCAGTTTGACTCTAGTTATAATCAAATTGACTGGCAAAGGGGCATTTTTTTTATTTTTTAGGTAAAAATGAGAAAATCACGTAACGTAAAATGGTGGGTATCAATTAAACTAAGCAAGACCAGGACATGGGACACAACTCAAAATGTTCCTCCTTAGTTCACCTTTGAAAAAAAAATTTTTTTTTCAAAATCAATTGCCGCGTCTTTTGAGTAAAATAAAAAAAATTTCCTATTTCGACAAATTTTGTCGAAAAAATTTCAAATTTTTTTGACATGTCTTTGGGTCAAGGAGAACCCAAAAACGAAATTTGGTTTGATTTGGACAACCTTTGTCGAAAACCCTGTTTTTCCCACATAGACAGCGTCCTACAGACCCTCCTTTCCATCAATACAGGGGACATTTGCCTGCAGAGATCTCGATTTCTCGCCGTGTTTTAGGTGTTTTTCGGCTTTAAAAACTGAACCAGTGGAGCTAGGATAGTGATATTTCGCGTGTGCCGAGCCAAGAACACACCTAATGAGCCTGCAAAGTCTCAGCCAGATCGGCCGAGCCGTTCAGGAGTAGTGCACACACACACGCAGACAGACAGACAAAACTTTTCAACCGCACTGGAGTAACAGGCTTCGCTTTCGCTCAGCCAATAAAGTTATTCGATTCGACACTCTTTCAAAATCAATTTAGCTTGTGTCAAATACTTTTTGGCAAAGGAAAGAAATATATTTGTTTGCATTACTCCCTTAAAACAGGCTCACTATCTACTCTATTTCCGGTTTTGAGATTCTTCTTGTTCTTCAGTCGACGACGACTAGAATAGTCTATTGACCTAGTAGTAGCCTCTAAGCTTCTGGCGACGTCAGTGTGCGTCAATGCAGAGCAAACAAGTAATACCCGTTGCAGTGTTCTTGCAGCGTCCGGGCCGGGACTCGTAAAACCGGTCTGAGTTTCTGGACCGGCCTTTCTGCAGAGGAGCTCGGAAAGACGGGCAGTCAGCATGATGCCGTGGCGAGCTGGGGTTGTCGTGTTGCTAGCGTGTGTGCTGTTCGTGGCGCAAGCGTTTACGAGTAAGTAGAAATCCAAATGGAACGTTTCTGTGCTGATTTTCCTTCAACTACAAGGTAGGTGACGCCAAACTGTGTCATGTCGCAGCAGGCTTCGCGATGCTGCGACAGTGACAGTCCACACCAAGCGTGCACTTGGCACTTGGCTTCAAAAAGTGGGCAACTTTTCGGAAATTTGTGTCTCTTTTAGTTTTTAGGCACGAAGTAGCCTTATAGCCGGCCCGAGATTCAATTTGTGTGGCCCTTTATGCATTTCGGAAATTTTCTATACGATTTTAATGAGACTTTGCAGACTTGTAGAACTTTAAACGCTGATTCTCATGCTGAAATCTGGTTAAAAAGTTAACGGCTAATTTTGAGAAATTTGCTGTCAAAATCGCCGTTTCCATGGCAAAACTCGACTCGTCAAAGGAAACAAGAAGGAAAGACATCAAAGAATTGATATCACATGGGAGGGACTCGTTCTTTACAAAGCTAGATTGATGTGTCAGTCGCTGATCGTTACATGAATGGTCCTCTGACGATTTGTAATTTTGCATTTCAACATAGACAATCAACTATATCCATAGACCAACTGCTTCATGCCCAGGCTGGGATCCATGTGTTACGTCGCTCCCTGATTGGTCGTTACCTTTCACTTCACTCGTCATTGGTCGGCTGTGGTCACCAAGCTGCCTCGGCAGCGAACGCCGCGTCCTGATTGGTCGAGGAGGCTCGAGCTCCACCAATCAGAACGCGGCGTTCGCTGGCGAGGCAGCTTGGTGCAGTCGATGCCACACTTGTGGAACAGTTTATACCTTTTAAGTTGATGTTCAGCTGCTTTCAGTGGGTGAAAAAGAAGCTCACATAAATGAGGAATATCATCAAACGGCTCGATTTTTCAAATGAACTTTAATTTTAGAGCCTCAGAGGAAGTTTTACGGAGGAACACCGCTCGTGCCGCTCGTGCCGACAACTGATTGTTTGTGTTTCACTTGGTATTTATACGAACAAGCTTTGCTCAAAAACCAAGAGCCAGAAACATAGGTTTGAACAGGCTGAATGCAATCAGCCCACTAAAATTGACATTTGTCGAGTTTTTAACCTTGAAATGTTGAAGTGAAAGGTACGGACCAATCAGGGAGCGGCGTAACACATGGATCCCAGCCGGGCATGAAGCAGTTGGTCTATGGATATAGTTGATTGTCTATGATTTCAACGAACGCTTCCGGTTGGTTCTCCTCTCAGGCAGGGAACATCGATGCATCGCGATATCTCGAGATATCGATTCTCGTGCATAATCGAATTTACACTAGAGTCCGTGCCAAAAACCTGCTTTTTCCATGACCAAAACCCTCAGAAGGACACATTTCTTAAAAAAAGAAGTCAAATGATACTTATTATTTCGTCTCTCATCTCCAACATAAGACATGCAACACCTGCCAAGAAATTTTCATTAGGAAGAAACCGCTAGCAGTTCTGAGACATATATCACGATTAGCGTGAAACGATGTTTCTTTATGACCAAATTTCTCAAAATTATCCATTGTCACTTGGAAAATACCCTCCTAGTTTTTTGTTGGCCAAAGATCTCTGGTCGTTGTCGTTGTTGTTAGCGTTCCAGTGGCGTTCTATATCAAAAGATGCAAACACTTGAAAAGAGGTTAGTTTCACATAATGCACTAAAAACGTCTCTCTTTCATGTTCATTTTCTCAGTATTTCTCATTGCAAGCAAAAAAAAAGTTCATTTACGATCTAGCGACTGACACTCCATCTTTCATTTGATACCACTCTCATTTTCCCACATGCTGTCAGATCTGAGATGAAAGATGTCCCCCCAAAACTCATTTTTGAACACAATACTCGTTCTCTTCACATAGAGTTTTGTATGTTAGTGAGTGGTGTGTAAAGAACGAGTAAAAAAAGAGAGTGGGGGGAGTCCGAGCCGGGGCGGACCAATAGCCGAGCTTCTTTTTGGGTCTGTACAGCTTACTCCAAAAGCTGAAATAGCACGTTCGAAATGAAAAATTTCTTTGACTGCAGGTAGACAAGATGCAACAATAGAATTGGTGTCGGTTCGAACGCAGTTTTTCGGGTAGAACTATCCGATAATACTTCTTGATAGAAGGGTTTTTGGACATGCGCAGTGGGTTTGCAACCTGTTGAACAGTTTAACCAACTGTAGCATTTGAAATCTGTATTAATTTTGCTCTCTTTTTTGTTTTTCTTTGTTTCCTGCTTATGAAAATTCATATAAAACAAATTTTCAATTTTTATGTGATGACTTTGTAAAAAAATTTTAACAGAAAAATAGCAAAACAAAAGTTTTTTTTTTCTGACATAAAGTTTCTCAAATATTACTTTTTTTCTGTCAATAAAACAATTTTGTTGTTGTTGTGATTCAGTTAGCACTAGGACCACTTCGCTCCACCTCGCGACTTGCAGTGCTCATGTTCCTCGAACAAGACTCACCCGCGTTTCGAAACCATCCCTCCCGAGTTTATGAAGTTTGTCAAACCAACTGTCTTGGTGTTGATACGTTGTAAGGGAGAACTATTACACAGAATTGAAGAAAACATGACTAGGGAACCATAGCCTTTTGAAACAAGCCAAACAATTCAACGTCATCAACAATGGAGAGGCAGTTTTAATGCGCGACTGCTGGTGCTTTCAGCTTCGCGATTTTCGCAAGGGCGCAGACGCCGAGAAACTAGTTGCCAACCCGTGAAAATTAATTTACTGCCTTCTTTCTGCTAAGAACATTTTAATAATGATGGACTTTAAAGATGTTCCATTGTCAGAACACTGCGGAATACATTAGCATTGGAATTTTTCGAATTTACCAGCATTTTGATTTCCATTTATTGTCAAGTTTAAATTTCGACGGGTGGCACATCGACCACATTGGTACCACTGTCATTGGTAGTCCCCTGAGCCACAACTTCACAACACCACTTCTTTTCTTTCTCCACACTCTTACACAATAATCAAATTAACTTCGTGACTCCTAGGATTTCTTAAAATCGTATTTTTTTTTCTAATCTTTCACCCAAACGGTCCAACTTAATGTTGCACTTACTTCTAATCCATATGCAAGTATAAAACACGAATCAGAAGTCGAAATTTAAGAAGAATTATAACCTAAAACATATTTTAAATCGAAAAAACGGCGTGGATTATCGGAAGTGGCGCAGCATCTCGAAGCCTGTTACGACAAGCCACTGTCTGGCGTACACCTACCTTTTGATATGGGCCATTCTTGTGGAGTATTTTCTCAGAAAAAAAATCGGGAAGTTACGAACAATGTGATGATGCATGATTCATTATTTTATGAAAAATTCGTAAAATCTGAGTACTCTTCAGGCATTTTTAGACACATTTTCAAAGAAAATATGAAGGGTGCATAATTGTTCATTCACGAGTATTTCACAATGAGCATTTGAAGGGAGAGTGGGGCGATTGGTGACAAATGCGTGTATTAATGGCGTGGGGCGATTCGTAACAAATACGTGTATTAATTTAAGTGGAGGGAGCAGAGGAAAATCTGAGTATGGCCCCTTTTTCGCTTCAAGTAGAGGGTCCTTGAACAATCGAAGCGGATGTAATCGGTGCTCAGGTTTAGTTTTGGAGGGCGTCTGAAATATAGGGTACGTCGAAAACAGGCCAATCTTTTATTTTGAGTTCTAGGAAGTTTCTGTCTGAGGCTCCCCAGGCATGAGTCACCATCAAAGTACACTCTCATTCCAGGAACGTGACATCACGTTGAAACGAATGTGACAAACTGTCACGTTCGTTTGAGCATTGTCACATTCGTTTGGGTGTGAATTGGCCGAAAATCGGCTCGTTCACATTCAAACGAACGTGACACAATGCTCAAACGAACGTGACACTTTGTCACGTTCGTTTCAACGTGATGTCACGTTCCTGGAATGAGAGTGTACCGTTGGAGCCTTGAAGTGTGACCCCTTTACAATGTAACCACGTGACATAAGTTGCCCTTACTTCGTTCAGTGATAGTTAGGGACGCATTTCGACGGTCCCTATCGATAGGCTCGTAAGTCCGAGCGGCGGGAACGTAAGCGCGCAAGTCCGTCCGCCCGGGACATACCGTCGTATCTCGCCCGGGTCGCGACGTAGCGTGCTATCGTTGCATCATTCCGTATCTACATAGCACGCTACGTCGCGACCCGGGCGAGATACGACGGTATGTCCCGGGCGGACGGACTTGCACGCTTACGTTCTCGCCGCTCGGATTTACGCGACTATCGATAGGGACCGTCGATTTCTTGTGTAACAGGCATTTGGGGTGATTCGTAACAGACCCGTATAAAATCAAAAATTTAAGTAGTTAATGCAATGAAATGCTTGAATTATTTCTCGAATCATCTGCTGCCTTATTCCAGTACATTCACACAGCACACAATGCCTTTTAAAGCGAGTTATTCTAATCTCTCCTGCAAAATTGAAAAAAAGTGAGGTTAGGATTGACATAGCCGATTAATTAATGCTGAAGCGGTCAACGGCAGCTTGTAATGTAGATTTTAAGGCGTCTGCAGGACATCCGAAGAACAACTGCTGGAGGAGTTAAACATTCCCGACGATATTTCATTGGCTGAGCGATAGCGCAGCCCTTGCCGTGTCTGGGCGCTCCAAGAAGTGACTGGTCGTGCGTCTGTCTGTCTCTCTGTATGTAATCACTCACGTTTCTCAGCAACCACTGAACAAATAATATCCAAATTTCACGTGGTTCATTTTGTAGGCAATTTTATGCTCGTTTTTATGCACTTTACCGATTGAAAAAAGGTTGAAAACTTTGGCTGAAATCCTGCGCGCAGTGACACCATGTATGATTTTGCTGACCTTTTTTACGTCCCTCATGTAAGTGCCTCCCCTAATGCTGAAAAAAAAAATTTTTTTTAAGTTGTTGCCGAAAGTTAGGTCTTTAACATGGTTACCGCCGTTTGTCTCTAGCATTCACGCAAGTCTTTTTTATTGAGGTGCAAACAGAAAAATCGAATAAAATTGAAAAAGCGTGCACCAAGTGCTACTGCCCCCTTAATCCCAACTCGATTAACGGGTTTCGCTGTCGCTCATCCAAAAACTAATGATAACACCCACGGTCAAAACGAAACCTGGGATTCCCAGGAGCCCTATGTTTTAAGGTATAGGAGTTTCCAGGAGATTCCTGGGATTCCCAGGAAGCGTTTTTACCGTGCCCTCTTAATACGAGAAATTTTGTGTTCTAGTTTCCAATGAGTCCACCAGCATAAAAGCAACTCTTTTGGGGACCACAAAATCTTCTTCAACTTTTCTGGCAAGTTCCACTTCATCGCCCCACTCAAGTTCTGGTACGAGTTCCGGTTCCCCGTGTCATTCCAATTTTTCGGAACGAACTGTCCCCCCGCCGTCGAGTTCTCCAGCGAGCTCAACCTCCAGTCCTGAATCTCGCAGGACATGCCCTCCGCTTGGGTCGCCCTCGCTGGACATAATATGCCGAGGACCCACCGGCGAACAGGTAGGCAGGGATGAAGATTGTCTGCGCTTACACTGTTAGAAAAGATTGTTGAATTACGACAAAAGTTTCAACAACTTAGTCGTACCCAAACAACAAACTCATTCAAAATTAAAACGACTAAAACATCGTTCCAAAACAATTTCTACCGTTTAAGAAAATAACAGCTATATAGTCGTTCAAAAACGAGATCCCTGTTTTAAAATGACAAACTCATTCACTAACGACAGAACTGAGCAGATCAAAAAGTACATGAAAAAAATCTTAAGTTCACTCAAAAAAAAATAATATTTTCTTTAAAAAAGAATCCGATATCTGCTGAAACATGTTCCAGGTACTCCACTGTCCATGACCAGTTGCTTTGCTCCGACTGGAATTGTTTGCCTACACTGAAAATCCAAGTGTGGGACAGGCATGCACTACAGTCGACCCAGCCAAAGGTCTCGCTTCTTGCGACCGTTAAAACTGCCCCCTCCACCGCGAAAGTCCTCCCGCACCAGCCCCCGCGCTCCCCCCGGCCCTGTGGAGGGGGCAGTTTTAACGGTCGCAAGAAGCGAGACCTTTGGCTGGGTCGACTATAGATAACGTGGGACAAAATGTCCCACGCTTGTAAGCGTGGGACAAAATGTCCCACGCTTGCAAGCGTGGGACACGGTTTGTCCCACGCTTGTAAGTGTGGGACACGGTTTGTCCCACGCTTGTAAGCGTGTAACACGGTTTGTCCCACGCTTGCAAACGTGGGACATTTTGTCCCACGCCTACAAGCGTGGGACAGTTTGTCCCACGTTATCTAGTGCATGCCTGTCCCACACTTGGATTATCAGTGTACCGCTGACTGCGCTGACCTGCAATGTCGCTGATGAAGAGCTTGTTGCTGCACTCTGGAAGAGTGCATCCTGCCTTAGCTGAACATGTTCTGTTTTGCTTTCTGCATGATGTCTCCACAAGATGCCTTCACTCTGCACTGCTTTGATTGTAAGAGCTCTGCTTAAGGGGGGACCCTGGTGAAAAAATCGCCAAAATTCCAAAAAATAATATTTTCAAAGTTCATAGATAAAAATGTGCATAGAAGGTTTCAAATTCAACAGGTTGAACACCTTTAAGCTAAGTGGGTAGTTTCTTTATCATTTGGAAGGAAATAACATTGAGATCAGTTGTTGTTGGCTTCTACGCTCAACTTCACAGCTTTGCTCAGTCGACAAAAAATTTTGTCGTAGAAAGACTTCCTGCGTTCCTGGTTGGCACCCACATGAGTCGTCTTGCATGGACTCTATTCATTGATGACTTGTCGACAAATTTTAGTGACGGAATCTTGATATCAGCCCTACTTTTTTTTAAACACACCTTAAAGTTTGAAAAAAGGGAAAAATATCACTTTTTTTAAAATGTTGAAATTTGAAAACTCATATCTCAGGACAGAAGTTGAATTTGAAAATTCCGTCTCTAAAATCTCTTCTATACATCTTTAGGATAACCCAAAAAAATTTTCAAGACTTTCCGTCCCAATGAAAGACGCAAGAAGATTTTTCCCCAATGCTCCAAAAAACACTAAAAAGCCACTTTTCTCAGAGACCGTTCAACATTTTGGATTGAATTTTGTTTTGGGAACTCACCATAATGAACCTCATAATTAAGCAAAGTTTCAACTTTCTGGGATTATTTTGAAGCCTACTTGAAACTTTCACCAGGGTCCCCCCTTAATAAAAATAGAACTTAAAAGGACTCAGTGGCTTGGTTAAGTGTGATAACTAAATCTTTAACCTATTCTGTACGTTTGTCTCTTGTCACGTCCAGGAGACAACGAAATACACTGCACTTCGAAGTTTGTGTTGATGGCCATGGGGAACAGTAGGCCACTGGGAAACTTCACAACTTTCCATCAAGTTCTTTGTGGCAACACCAAAACAAACGTCCCGCGGGCGTGGAAACGCATGATAGGGCCAAAGGTAATCCATGGGGAGTGAAACAGTCCAATATCCTCTCACAATTTAGCAAAACTTGGGGTGAAAACATTAAATTTGAGACAACAACGGTCACCAAAACAAACACACGCACACCGACCACTGTGTATGAAAAATTCAACATGAGAATGAATATGAGAAATACAACAAGTTGACAAATGAAAGTGAAAGACGGCTGTCTCCGTGCAGGAAGATGCCTGGCACATTTGCACACCCGAACCGAACCCGAAGCGCTTCGGCTCGGAGCGGCACCTCGGCGGCCTCGGCCAGGCGGCTTCGGCGGGGAAGGAAGGGCGATGGGAGGCTTCTCTGAAACTCCAGAGACGAAGTTGTCCAACCTATTGTAACCAAACCTAACGGGCTCGCAACAGATCTTTCGATACAATCTTGAAAGCTGTCAAAGCAAACAACTTCGCGGTACAAAGTATTCTCCGGCATGGCGTGTGGCTCCATGTCTCCAGCTTTGTACACCACGAACTTCTCTTCACTTTGCAAAGAAATAGTGCGTAAGTTGCTCCAGAAACGCAACGTTGCGAAGAGATGGTTTGTGAACTTCCAAAGCGATTTCTTTGCAAGTTCGAAAGTAATAGTTAACAAAGCAAAGAAAAAACTTTTTAACAGAGAGACCTTTTACGGAGCATACTTAGCAAGGATTTAAGAGTGTACCAACGGCAGCTATTACGCTACTGGTGGCAGATCTGAGGTGTCACGCAGACAAGGTCAATAAAAATATAAAAAACTCGGTTCTCTCCGAGTATCATCTGCTTTATGTTAAAGTATCAAACCATAAACCCGCCCCAGCGATGAGAAGCCGCGTCCAGCCGCCGTTCCCCCACCCATGGGCCGGCGCCCGAACCGATGTGCAAATGTGCAAATGTGCAAGTAGAAGAGGGGAGCACCCTTATTTCTTATATTCATTCTCATGTTGAATTTTTCATATACGCACTGTAATTCAAAGGGTGAGACATCTCACCAATTTTCGGCGATACAAAATGTATCACTGAAAAAATGGTCGTACACGCACGTATCACCGAAATAAAGGTCGTACACAAATGTATGACCGAAAAAAAGGTGAGACATCAGCGAGATTGGCCCTTGTTTTCCTGGGGAAGTATCACCCTTTTTACGGTGATACGTGCGTGTACGACCGTTTTTCGGTGATACGAGCGTGTATGACCATTTTTTCGGTGATACATTTTAGTATCACCCTTTTTCGGTGCGACAGTTGTGTCTCACCCCTCAGAGAGTGAGATGTATCACTATTTGATTTTCAGTGCGGTGGTCGGTGTGCGTGTGTTTGTTTTGGTGACCGTTGTTGTCTCAAATTTAATGTTTTCACCCCAAGTTTTGCTAAATTGTGAGGGGATATTGGACTGTTTCACTCCCCATGGATTACCTTTGGCCCTATCATGCGTTTCCACGCCCGCGGGACGTTTGTTTTGGTGTTGCCACAAGAACTTGATGGAAAGTTGTGAAGTTTCCCAGTGGCCTACTGTACCCCATGGCCATCAACACAAACTTCGAAGTGCAGTGTATTTCGTTGTCTCCTGGACGTGACAAGAGACAAACGTACAAGAATAGGTTAAAGATTTAGTTCTCACACTTGACCAAGCCACTGAGTCCTTTTAAGTTCTATTTTTATTAAGCAGAGCTCTTACAATCAAAGCAGTGCAGAGTGAAGGCATCTTGTGGAGACATCATGCAGAAAGCAAAACAGAACATGCTCAGCTAAGGCAGGATGCACTCTTCCAGAGTGCAGCAGCAAGCTCTTCATCAGCGACATTGCAGGTCAGTTGGCTTCAAGCAGTGCGCAGTCAGCGGTAGGCAAACAATTCAAGTTGGGCCAAAGCAACTGGGCATGGACAGTGGAGTACCTGGAACATGTTTCAGCAGATATCAGATTCTTTTTTTAAAAAAATATTTTTTTTGGAGTGAACTAAAAATTTTTTTCATGTAATTTTTGATCTGCTCAGTTCTGTCGTTAGTTAACGAGTTTGTCATTTTAAAACAGGGATCTCGTTTTTAAACGAGCTTTTTTATTGATGATGAAGTTGTTAATCATTTATTGTTCCCAAACAAATTTGTCGTTCACAAACAACTTTTTGTTTACGACTAGTTGTTTTTAAACAAATCATGTCATTTATAAACAACTTGTGTTAAAAAAAAATTAGCGACAAATTTGTCGTTAAATTACGACAAAATTTCTAACAGTGTATAGAATTGGCTCAAAACTGTCGTGAGCAAAAATAAATAAGAGGTGAAAGGGTTGGATATCACCCCTCCGATTTGGCAGATTTTTTGTGGATAGACCAAAGAAGTCCCAACGCTAAGATTCCAAGCTATGAGTATAGCACGTATGGTGCAATGCACTGAGATATCGCACCATACGTGCCATAGCCATACTGCGCCTTCCGTGCAATGCATCCCAAAAATGCCCTATGCTTTTGCAGGGGAGTGGGAAGGAATTGCACTTATGTGCAATGCAAAGGCATTGTACCACTTGACGCCATACTCATAGCGTTTGGATTCTCAGTGAAATCTTAGGGTAAAGGTGAACAATAGTTATTTGCGATCATCTACAGATACAATTGTGTAGGGAACCAAAGGATCCAATGAAACCAACCTTTGATTTTTCAAATTCTTCATAACCCAACCGTTAAGGAACTGTGTGCCTTCAAAGTTTGACTTTTTTCCGAGGGGGTAACGACTTGGGAATCCGGCTGACAGCAAATTGGTAATCCGTAAGCCGGACGACTTGAAATTTTGAGGTAATCCGGGGTAATCTTGCTAAGTCCAAAGGTAATCCAGGAATTTTTTTGTTTTTATCCAGAGGTAATTTGGCGGTAATCCGGGGTAATCCGTAGTCCAGCTGACACGAAATTTACCAGTGGTTACCCCCTCGCGTTTTTCTGAAAGGTGCTCCAAATGACAGTTTTTGGCCCGTCCCGTTTATTTTTTGTAAAAAAAAAAAAAATGACGGAGGGACGGGCAAGTATGATCCCTGCTGTGCGTCCGTCCGTTCGTCCGTCCGAGGACTTCCCGTGGTCCGATCTTGACCAAATTTGGTATGCAGCCTCCTTGGGTGACCCTAAGAACCGCCCGGTGGCAGCAAATCCGATCCGAGCCCCGGGGGCGCTGCTGCAGGTGCATCATGGTCTACATGGGGTCGAGGAGGATTTCGGCAACGGATACAGCCAGAAGGGCATGGAGGGGTATTTTTGGAATCGGGGCGACGAAACAAAACCAACGGTGCCAGTTTCAAGCGAATCGGAGAAGTTTGGACCCGGGTTCAAATCCCAGTTGGGTATATTTTGAACATTCTTTTTATTCGAGTTTTTTCATTGTTTCTTATGGTTTTGAGGGCGCTGATGACGAAAATAACATCTATGTTGACCCCAGACTCATGTTCAAACCCGTCAGGGTTAAACAAAGGCGAAATTCACACATTTGTTCATGTACGGGACGGGTTAAAGTTGCCGATGTATATCGCTACTTTTCCTGTTTTTTCTGCACTGAAGGCGTAGCCTGTATGTGTGCGAGAGAGGGAGGGAGACGAAAACGACTCTCGTCATCAGTTCACTTGCTTACTTTGCGGTTGACGGCTTGAGTTCTGAAAACTGGTGGTCAAGCCTAATACGCACGAATGGGACATCTGTCAGACATATATATTTATATATTTATATATTTATTTCAGGTCATATGGCCTTTTGAATATAGAGCAGATCAACAGCGCACATGCGTGTGTGCGCCACCTGGCGAGGACTTGGCAAGCCTGCTCTAGCGTGGCGTGTACATGCAGACATGCTTCAACCTGATGCATGCTATGTACACACTTGAGATTGCAGAAAAAGACTGCAACTGCCCCCTCTCCCCATGTGCACTGTGCAACTACTAGAAGAGAAGCAAAACAAATAGATTTTTCAAAGGAAGTCTGGCCCGGAGAAAAAGAACAAAATCCAATGGCTCGGAGAATTCGCAAGTCGTCGCTGGAGAAATATGACAAAGTCTACACTTACCCACAGAGAATCGCATGTAGCCAAATCGCATCAGCCAAATCGGAGAGATAAAATCTAACACTATCACTTCATATTTGTTTATGCTTATAATGTTGTACCCAGCTACTTTATCTCAGGGGAAGTTGCCAAAATTGTGGGTCCTTTTGTGTCTTTGGGCCAGTTTCCTTATTTTTCGACGTATCGACCTGCGGTTTGATTCCCATGACTGGACTTCATCTCCCCTACTATCCCACACACTAACCGAGCATGCATTTCAAGCATTTCCCTGTCAAAACAGGCTAAAACTGGGCAAAATGTAACTTCCATGCTGTCCATTGTCCAAAAAGTCCGTGTTTCAAGGCGAAAATCTCCTGAACTATTTGTCGGGGAGCAAATCCGCGAACAGCCTTTTGTTCCGTTGGCAACCCTTTATGACACCCTTGGATAGCAATTTATTCCAGTGACTCTCACCTCCTGCTTTATTGGATGAAAAAATGTCCACCGTGTACTGCTTTTCAAACATCGTCAGCTTTAGTTTCGCGCCTCAGCGCCGAACCTGTAGCGGGAAAAGTTTGGCTCAACGTCCAGAATCAGCAGCACGGTAGGTGGATTTTCGCTGGAGGGCTCCATTCCGGCTAGCTTGACCACCAAAGGTAAAAATCCGGCATGCATCAGGTTTATGTGTAACCTTCCGTGTCATCAATAGCGAGCTTGCTACTCGGCCTATCGATTTCGATCCACCTGGCCATTTTGCGCTTTTACGTCTTTTAAACTTTAGGCGAGACACCTGCTCGATTTGGTGAACCGGTTGGTCCGTTTTCACGGTTTGTTTGATGATGTAACTTCCGTGCCATGCACATTTTCGGTAACTTCCGTGCCATTCCCCCATCCAGGGTTGTTAACGTTATTTAACGATTAACGGCGTTACAGTAACGCCGTTAACCGTTAAATTGTCTGGGTCATTATCGTTAACTCGTTAAGTTAATGGACTTGCTTAACGCGTAACGCCGTTAATGCGTTAACACAGGAGTTCATACACGATCGGTCCGAAAAAAATATCATAAAAATTTCTGTGTTAGAGACAGATAGCTATAGCTATTTCAATTTCATACTTGTGTTATAGGTTTTAAATCCTTTTATGGGTTTAAGAAACGTTTGGTGGTGCGTTTAGCTGGTGTTTATCTCTACCCGCTCTGGTTATGTTATTTGTTTGTTTTTAAAGGTATTTTTAACGTTAACGCCGTTACTTGTGTTAATTTAACGATAGCGCGTTAAATTCTCAATTCCGAGTTAACGTTAACGCGTTAAGTTAACGGGCTCGTATTAACGCATTAACGTTAACGCGTTAAATTTGAAAGTAACGTTATCAACCCTGCCCCCATGTAAAGTAAAGGGGAAAAAACAAAGAGCTAGAAAATCCTGGTCTCCTTCTGAAACGCGTTCAGAACGACCCCTAGAACACAGGAAAATTGGTAAAAAAAATTTAGAACAAATTTTTTTTTTGTTTTTTGGCCCGTCCCGTTTATTTTTTGTAAAAAAAATGACGGAGGGACGGGCATATAGTATGATCCAATGACCAAATTTGGTATGCAGCCTCCTTGGGTGACCCTAAGAACCGCCCGGTGGCAGCAAATCCGATCCGAGCCCCGGGGGCGCTGCTGCAGGTGCATCATGGTCTACATGGGGTCGAGGAGGATCTCGGCAACGGATACAGCTAGCAGAGCATGTTGGGGTATTTTTGAAATCAGGGCGACGAGACAAAACCAACGGTGCCAGTTTCAAGCGAATCGGAGAAGTTTGGACCCGGGTTCAAATCCCAGTGGGGTATATTTTAAACTTTCTTTTCATTCGAGTTTTTGCATTGTTTCTTATGTTTTTGAGGGCGCTGATGACGAAAATAACATCTATTTTAACCCCAGACACAGGTTCAAACACGTCAGGGTTAAACAAAGGCGAAATTCACACATTTGTTAATGTACGGGACGGGCCAAAGTTGCCGATGTATATCGCTACTTTTCCTGTTATTTAGGAGCCTAAAGGACCCACAATTTTGGCAACTTCCCATAGCAAGACGTGTAAACTTAGAGGGGGGAGGGAAGTATTCCAACCTTTACATGCCAAACAAAATCGACCAATTTTCCTACGCTATAGTAGTGGAATTATAAATAAAACCTCAAGGTTTGTCGAATAATAGTGATACGGGCTTTTGAAATTGCAGAATGAGTAGTGTATATGTGTAGTACTTTTGATGATGGGCCATGTCAGGCCATTATTATACCTAGTGAGCCTGGACATGGCCGAACAAAGCGACGATAGATCGAAGGGCGAGTAGTGAAAATCGATTTTTGGATCGCGTCAAGGTTGGGCACCCACGTATCCAATAACTGGCTTTCTAGGGTGTAGTTATTGTTGTCGGAACATTCGCACGCCTCTTTGCACAGGATGCCGTGCCATGCGACCAACCTCAACCTGTCGGCGCTGTCGCCTCGATTGAGTGCAGGAACCATTTTGAGCATCGGCCGCTGCCCGACAGTGCGCACTTCTCGCGCTGCGGCGCGGACGGGATGTGGAGCAAGCCCCTTTTCACATGCACGCCAGGTGGGTAGAGATTTCCATACTTCAGGGTAAGGTGCCCAGTAATGGCCACTTTTAGCTCACAGGTGCGGCCTTAACCCCTTTACTTGGTCTCTCGTATGTCGTACCGGTGTGAAAATTTTCGGGAACATGCAAGAAGGATAGAGTAAAGCTCAACTTTAGAAAAACATCAACATCAAATTTATTCTTTGAGAAAGAAGTTCCTAAAATATCAGTTCAGTTTGCCAAGTGATGGCCAGTGCCCAGGTCCAGTAATGGCCACACTAGGGTTTGAGCACTTTGTTTTCGTCCCAGTTGGGACTGATTTGCACCGTGACCGAAGTTACAGAGGTCACTGTATCTCAGGAAACGTACCCTGGGAACCTTAATCCACTGTGCCTTAGAAACTGTTCAGACAGTGTGTTGTGTGCTATATAAATTTGGAAATAAAGTTAAAATTTGTAACTAGCGATAGAGAAGATTCAAGAACTGAAATGATTTCACCTCAAGAAGATGCACAACTAATGTTATGCATGTTAAAGGTAGACTTACATTCAATGGGTACAGGCGTCAAAAGTGGAACAAGAAGTAAAGAAAAAAAGTTTAAAGGATGGTGCGAAATATCAATGAATTGATATTAAGGGGGGACTATACTGAAAATGGGTTTTTCCAGGATTACCAGTGCAGAAATTTTCTCTTGTTTTCTTTCGATAGAATATTACTCAAAACTATTTCAGCCGAAGTATGAAAATTTTCGGCCAAACGGTTTAGGAGATATTCAAAGGTAAAGTGAAAAATATATGTTCACTAAAAAGTTTCCTTGCGTCGTATTTTTGATGTCAGAAAATTCGACTTATCGTTTTTATTGTCCTAAAGACCTGTTCTACAGGTTCTCTAAGCCGCTTTTTTCATTTTCGATCTCAAAACCTTTTTTTTTCATACGCGCTTTTTTTACAAACAAAAAAATGGTCAAAATTGCTTAAAATTGACTAAAAACTGACCATTCTCTTGTGACATTAAAAAGTTCTGACCAAAATTCAAAAATCCGGCTTAGAGACCCTGTGGGGAACAGCTTAAGGAACATCTGGTAAAAATTTTAGCCACGTAGATAAAAATTTATGACGCAAGGAACATTTTTAACGTTAAAACTAAAATTTTGAAAAAAAAAAACACGAGAAAACGTACACTTTGCGTGGGTCTACGTGACGCTGCGTTCCTTCCGTCGGCTTTTAAAGATTCTTAATATATTTTGTGGGAAGGAACAATGGCTGTACCGGCTAGACAAAGGTCTGAACAAGGTATTTTCGCGAAAATCCAATTTCACATTTTTGACCGAAAACGGCCATTTTTTCAGTATAGTCTCCCCTTAAATAAATGACTCGTTCTTTACACATTTTTTTTGTGAATGAAGGATGTCTAGTGGTTATCGAAAGTGGCCAGGTGGTTAAATAATTGTTAAGCTCGAAATGAAAGTACGTTCAAACTCTACCGCCATTACAGTAGTTCGTTTGAAATCCGCGTGGTGGCGCCACGGGTCGCCGATGTTAGCGGCAGGCCGTCCAAAGGAAGGTTGAAAAACTGCAGATATTTTAAATGTTTGTTTGCTAAGAGAGATAATACTCAAATGAAAAATGTTAAACAAAGCACAGGGAGGTGGATTTTTGCTATGGCACATGCCAATTCGATATGAATCACGAAAAAACGAAGTGTTATAACCTCTCATTACTAGACACCAGCCAGTTTTAATAAACATTTTCAATCTTCATTTGCTCAAAAACTTTCATAGTGAAATCAAAAATACTTCATTTACGCCTTAAAGAGGAGGCTTTGATCTTTCAAATGAGTACATTACATATGGTTTTCCTTGTGTGCATAGCGAGTTGAATCATGTAGCTAACAAAAACCGATTTTGAGCACAATACTCGTTCTCTTCACATTAACCTAAATTTTGAAATGAGGGTGTAAAGAACGAGTAAAAAAGGTCCAAAATGCATCTTGTTTCCACTTTTGACGCCGATAACTTTTAAAAATCCAGTCTGAACCTGTAACATGCTACACGTTGTTTGTTCATCCTGTTAAGCTGAACACGTTTCCAAAATAGAATTGTTTCTTACGCCTATTTAAATCTTTGACTACAAATCAAAATTTATAATACATTTAGTGTTTGAACAGTTTACAGCGAATTCAGGTTTCCATAGGTAGGGGGAGTGAGGCGCTAGGTCCAATGTAATATATTGCAGGCACCAAACTAGACGGACATGCACTCTGAGAAAAAATGACGGTAAATCCTGGATATTTTTTTTTGCCAAACTTAACCGTACTTCGAAAACCAGTATCCACCGTACTTGTTTTACAAAATATTCCGTAGTCTTTTAACGGTAGTTACCGTTCTTCCGTACAGTCCATGCCGTAGGAAAGACCAGATCTGGTCCCAACAAAGGCCGCTTCCAAGAATTGTCCACATCAGGATCTTGAAAAAAGGGGGTCGACCGACTGAAAAATTTTATTGCACCTTTCGATAGGTCTCGTCAAGACCTTTTCAACGAGTGGTCGGAAGGGGGGTCCAGGAGTCCGACTTCAGCAGTTAACGTACATCAGGATCTTGAGAAAAGAGGGTCAACCGACTGAAAAAAATGTAGCAGTTTTTGATAGGAATTAAAAGTACGGGATTGCCGGGGGAAAAAGTACGGGATTCCCTGTAAAAAAAAGTACGGTGTTGCCTGTAAAAAAAAAGACGGTGTTGCCTGTAAAAAAAGTACGGTGTTGCCTGTAAAAAATGACGGTATTGCCTGGTAAAAAAAGTACGATGAAGTCTGGAGTAATCGGTACAGGATTTACCGTGATCTTTTCTCGCAGTGCAGGGGGGACGCATCTTCAACTTGTGATAGAAGCTTCCGGATGCCGCAAACGTGACCGCACATAGTTTGTCTTCGACATATATCAAGCTGCACAAAACTTGTCCCACCACTTTTGCGGCATCCGGAAGCTTCTATCACAAGTTGAAGATGCGTCCCCCTTCATCGCCCCTGGCACCATGGCCGTCGCCCTGCGCATTTGAGAAGTGCAACGGTGAAGCTGTTCCTGTTTGAGCCCTGGTGGGAAAATCGAAACTTTTTTGAATTTTGGGCATACTTCAAGGGGTCTTCTTCCAAAAATGCCTGAGCCATCTAAAAATCGCATATTTAGTCGGTGAAATAGTGAACTACAATTCACAAGGCAGATTCCGGCCAGCTCTGTTGCGAGTCCATTACCTCTTGTCTCATCCAACAAATGGTGGGTTAAAAGTACCTCATTTTGAATATCAGTGTAGCTTAAAAAGAAAAGCAAGAAGCAGGTTACCTGGAGCGAGCTAGAAGACTTTTTCCAAGAGTTTCCTAAATGTGATGGGCCTGTTTTGGCAGAGCCGAGTGATGATTTCTAATTCCCGGCTATTCACCTGCGCTTGGCCATGATTTTGGTCCCTTTTTGGGGACGAAAAGGGGGGGACAGGGGGTCGCCCCCCTCACCCCTCCCCTTATTACGCGCTTGGGCACATGGGAGAAGACGGGGCCAGAAGCGCCAGCTATCTGCGAGCTCGCCCGGCAGCTTCTTCGCTGGACACTCCCGCCCTTTTATTCAAAAAATAGGGGGGGGGGGCTATGTGTCTGTGGCGTCTGTGTACAAGAAAGGAGTTGAGCTAGAGTAACCAGATTTGGAGGGTACTTCAGGAGTACCGTCCCAACAAATAATCCGGCGGTGCAAATCCCGTCCGGGTCGCACAAGGGCTGCTGCAGGTGCATCATGGTTTACATGAGCGGGAGGGGGATTTCCGCCATTATTGGTGCTAGCAGGGCACATAGGGATATTTTTGGAATCGGGGCGACGAGACAAGATGAATGGACCTGGTCCCGACCCCATCGGCCGCTTTTACAAGTTGGCCAGATCAGGATCTTCAAAAAAGGGGGTCGACCGACTAAAAAAGTTTATTGCAGATTTCGATTGGTCTCAGCAAGACCTTTTCAACGAGGGGTCGGAAAGGGGGTCCAGGAGCCCGACTTCGTCCATTAGTCACATCAGGATCTTGAAAAAAAGGGGTCGACCGACTGAAAATTTTTACTTAAGTTTTCGATAGGTCTTGGCAAGACCTCTTCAACGAGGGGTCGGAAGGGGGGGTCCAGGAGCCCGCCATCATGAGTTATGGGAAAAAGTGCGACGGACTCGTTTTGCGCTCCTGCTGGGCCTCTATTGCAAGGAGTTGCAGTAGCATGGCAAATATGGGTATTTTCGGAACGAGGGCTAAGAGACAAATAAAATGGGCATATTCCAAGGACAGTTGTAGTAAAAAGTGTAAGGACTTTTGCATAATGTGAATAAAAGGGCGGGCCTAAGTCACGATGGTACAATCGATAACTTTGCTTTACCCGCTCATGGTGTGATGCGAGCGGGCCGAAGGCCCGGGCCTTCGACTGGCCAAGTTGGGCCTGATGCGAGGGCCGAAGGCCCGAGGAAAGGCCGCCGGCAGGCCAAGCTGGGCCGGCCCCCTGTCGAACCGAGTTGCCGGCGCCGCGAAGCGGTGCTGGCAACTCGGTTCGACGGAAGGGCGGGCCCTAGCTTGTTTTTTCTTGTACAATTAACGAGCGCTTTAAATCATACTACATGCCCGTCCTGCAGTATTTATTTCTTGAAGTTGTCGGCATCGTGATGCTTAGTGCGTTGCAGAGAAAAACCGCTCGGCATGATTAGAGAACACATTCAACACAATCAAATGCCGAAAGTTTTTTTTTGCCACCCTAAAGCAAGAAAGGATACAACAAAATGCAGGACATACCCATTCATAAATACCCCGAGACTTAACCTTTCTTTTGCAGCTTTCAATTTTGTTCTTTTGTTTCAAGTGTGCGGCCGTCCGTCGGGCAAAGGCGTTGCTTTCGTGCGTCATGGGCGGAACGTGTCTTCGGCTGCCGACTTTCCGTGGCACGTCGTCGTCTACGACACGACCTTTGCAACGCACGAGCAGATTTGTGGAGGATCCCTTATCAAACCCAGGTACTTCGTGTCGGGTAGGTAAACCAATTTCACTGGTTCGATGATCAGCGCTGTGAGCTTGCTCAGTACAAACTTACTGGTGTCCTTCATTAGTGTAGGAGGAACTCTTCATTGATATTTTATTTGCCCCCCTGGTCGACTCAGCTGCCCACTGTTTCCACAGTAGGGATGGGCCCTTAAGAACAGCAACAGACTTTGCTGCCGTCGTGGGCAAGCGGATCCGCAACTGGAACGCAGTGGAAGACACAGAGCAGCGCGCGACGGTATGGCAATTACTCGTATCAGCAGTTCGGAAATACACGTGGGCCAAAAAAACTCGTTGAAATCTGTAGCATTAAGGAGGGACCCTGGTAAAACTTGCAAGTAGGCTTTAAAAAAAATATCAAAAAGCTGAAAATTTCCCTAATTTTCCCTAAACAAAATTCAATCCAAAATATTGAACGGTTTCTGAGAAAAGTTCCACTTTAGTGTTTTTAGAGCGTTAGGAAAAAATCTTCCTGCGTCTTCAATGGAAACGGAGAGCCTGGAAATTTTTTTTTTGCTGTCCTTGAGATGTGTACAAAAGATTTTAGTGAGGAAATTTTCAAACTCAATTCCTGTTCCATATTAGAAATGTTTAAATTTTAATCATTTCTAAAAGATAATTTTTTGCCTTTTCTAAAACTTTGTTGTGTCTGTAGACAAAAGAAATGCCGATGATAAGAAATCCTCACTAAAATTTGTCGACAAGTCATCAAATATTTTAATCGAAGCAAGACGATCCATTATGTATGTCTCAACCAGGAACGCAAGAAGTCTTTTTTAGACAGCATTTTTGGTCGATTAAGTATAGCAGTGAAGTGAAGCGTATGAACTGATGACAGAACTAACTGTAAACTAAAGGTAACTAAAGTTATTTCTTTCCAAATGACTAAGAATCTACCCACTTAACTTAAAGGTTGAAACCCCTGAATCTGAAACCTTTCCATGCACATTTTAAGCTAAGAACACTGAAAATACTGTGTTTGGCAATTTTGGCCCTTTTCCACCAGGGTCCCCTGTTCAAATGATATTGATGAGTAATTCCGACATGATTGTTTCTAGATAAAACAAATAATGCTCAACCGCTACGGTGGTTCGAAGCATTTTTTTATCAATGATATTGCACTTGTCGAGTTACATCAGGATCTTACCATTACTACCAGCGTCATGCCCATCTGCGTGGACTGGGGAAGAGCGCACCCCCCTCTCAAGAACGGCGAGGAGGGAATAGTAAGTGAACCACTGCGAAATGCAAAGCCCATTGACTCGCAGAAGCTCCTTCCCAGTTTGATGTCTGTTTTTCAAAGTGAATTTAAGTATGAGCTTATTGTGAAAAATCCAAACTATATCGCCCTTTACAGGTTGTTGGGTTTGGCGGAGAGCGAAATACGCCCATTGAGTCGCTTCAGTTGTCTAAGCTTCCGTTTGTCGATCTAGAAATCTGTCAAGGAACCGTGCCCGATAAGTTGCTGGTTTACACGTATCTTACAGACAAGTTTTGCGTCGGAGTTGCCAACGGTTTGTGTCTTACATTTCCGCCTCTTGATGGTGTGCGTTGAGGCACGAAACGACCCCAGCCAACTCCATCTGTTTATTGCGGTTATCATACTCCCATGTCGTTGAAAACTTTCAGTTTTTTGTTTAGTTTTTTTAGTTCGTCGAGCGATAAATGTTGGTACGACATGATAAAGTCTATGCTTCCGTCGATTTGGAAGCCAATTGCTTTGGAATCGAATCCAGATTCAAAAAGCTTGCTCAGCTCTTCTTATTTCTATGCATTCAAGCTATGATTTTTTGTGGGTAGTTTACTCACAAATAGAGAAGACTTTTGCCTTAATATTAGGTCCCGCAAAAATGTATCGTCCAAATACTGATATTTCTAATATTACTAATTAGAAATCAATGCAGTGATGTGATAAGTTTCATGCCATTTGCTGCGATAAAAAGGCGAATGTGATTCTTTCAATTTATCGCATCTGGGCCAGCAATAACAAAATTACTGCATAAAAATGCAATAAATGCAATAAATTTCTAACGTTTTGGCCAGTTTTGGCACAGATTATCACATTTTAACGTGATAAGTGATAACATACGTACGTTAAACACTGGCAAAAAGCTACGGAAAATTCTGTAAACAGCTTGTGGTAATTCTCTGTAACCCTCTTGTCAGTATTCTCCGTAGGCTCTTACAGTATTTTCCGTAGGACCGCACAGTATTCTCCGTAGGACCTCACAGTGATCTCCGTAGGACTGTACAGTCTTCCAGGTCCTACGGAGAAGACTGTGCGGTCGTACGGAGAATACTGTACGGCCCTACGGAGAATACTGTAAGAGCCTACAGAGAATACTGTAAGAGGGCTACGGAGAATCCTGGCAAAAAAATTAACAGAATTTTCCGTACCTTTTTGCCACAGTGAAGCAATGTAGACAAAAGTAAGGCTGATAATAAGAAATCCTCACTAAAATTTGTCGACTAGTCATCAAATATTTTATTCGACACAAGAAGATCGATCATGTATGTCTCAACCAGTAACGCGAGAAGTCTCTTTACGACAGCATTTTTGGTCGATTTAGTAATTTTTTATCAAGAAAAGTTCCACTTAAGTGTTTTTAGAGCGTTAGGAAAAAATCTTCCTGCGTCTTATATTTTGAAATAAAATGACCTTTAATGAAAGGTGACATGAAAAATTCATCCCTCGAAACTATTTCTTATGTGTTCCCCGGCTCTTTTTACGTAAAGGACTAATGCCGAAAAAAAAAAAATTAATGAGTATACGGAGGAAAAAAATGAAAATGTCATGATTTAGACCGAAATGAAAATTTTGCTGTTTTATCACAGCCAAACGGGGCGAGATACCGCAAAACCCTTGGGATGTTTTTATAATGACCCCTATTCATTAAAACAAATTCATCCAAATCGAAGAGATGAATTTCCAATCGCCCATGGGCCTGTAATTTGGCCATTGACCCATGGTGCAAGAAAATTGTCACTTTTGGTACGGCACCACCCTGAAATACGTCAAACTTTGGGAGCAGGCAGTTTCTTAACGGCTCGTCGGACAAATTTAGAGTTATGTCGATTCTTTGGTTCATTCCCTACACAAATGCATCCTCAGATGATCGAAAAAAAACTATTTTTGACCGTTCTCTTCGAGATTTGGGACGTTTTTGGTCATTTTCCAGTGTTTTGGGCCAAATTCCAGACAAGATTCTTGTTCCTTTGACAATTCTACACCAGAGAACCAAATTTCGGCCATGAAAATTCCCAAATTTTAGTTAGAAAATTGAAAGCAAGTGAAAAATGGCTACAGTTTGAACAAGAAATTTTCGCGGGACCATATATCTAGGCAAAAGTCTACTCTATGGGTGAGTAACCCGCCTACAAAAAAAATCAGCCCAATCGGAGAGTAGAAATTTAACTCTGTCAACTCTCGTTTACTTTTGGTCCATAGCATTAATTGGCGATCCCGTTAACAAACGTTTACTGCAAAACTCCGTATGCAGCGATTCTTTTTAAAACAAGATAAATGGGCGCTTAGGAAGGTTCCTGGTTGACGTGCTTCTTGTTTTGCAGGCTCTTCTGTTGGCCAAGGCGACAGCGGGGGTGGTCTGGCCTTTCCCACATCCGAAAGACAGTGGTTTCTAGAAGGTGTGCTGTCGATTGGAGACGCGAACTCCGTCGCCATGTCACTGTTCACCAAAGTCTCCCAGCACACCCTTTGGATGTCTGGAGCCATCGAAGAACCTGGTACGCAGAGTACTTCGGTACATTTCACGAGTTTCATTTTTATCCACCATAACAGGATGAACCTACGTCCGGGTCAAAACGAGCCTCAATTTTGTCATCACCAGCCTCGAAAACGTACCGTAGGGCGGTGAACTTAGCTCAGACGCCTTGTGGAAATAGAACCCATTATACTAGGGGTACGCGCCGTTTAGTGTGGGCGCGTAGTGTGGCTGAGCGATGAGAATTAGTTTGTGCACTTCAGACTTGGCTAAAGTTGACGAAATATGCAACTTATGGGCTCATATATAGTGAAATGTAGGTCTGGTGTATAAATGGAAGTGATTTTCGTTATCAGCACACAAAAAACTGTCGGGATAAACGTCAAACTCGATTCAAAAATTTTGGTCCAGAATTGGTCAAAAATTTGG